CTGCCGCGACTCCTCAGCGAAAAGAAGGCAGGCGGGCACGGGCGGCCACCCCCCGCGCCTCCCTTCCTGGCTGCTACTTCCTGGTGGAGCTTCTTGGCCGGCGGGCGCGGCGTCGTCTTGTTTCATACAAGCCCAGCCAGTCTTGACGTACTTCTCGGATCTTGACAGAAGAGCCGGCTCGCTTCGTCGAGGCCTCCCCTCTCCCCCCTCGGGCTCTGACGGCAGCCGCGCCGAAAGAAGCCGTTCCAAGCATGGCCACAGGCGTCCAATCTGTCAAAACTTCCATCAGAAGAGAAAGAGCGAGAGAAGCGACAGCCAGCCAGCCCGCCAGCTATTCCTTTCTTTTCCTGAAGACGAGCATCCCCATCTTCCTTTCCACTTCAGGCTCTACGGAGTAGACAGTCAGGTGCGCGGCAGGCAGGAAATCTGGCAGGTCCTCCCCCCCCCCCCCCAAAGAAAGGGCAACAGCTTGGCAGGCTTTTTGGGTTTTTGGGTTTTTGAAAGCACAGAAGTTCTGCCAGTACTGATTGTTTAAAAGGCCATGCCTCTGACTTCAGAGAGGTTCCCTGGCAACTTGGCAGGCCTGAGACAAGGGCAATGAAAGTTTGCAGGTGTGAGATAACTGGAGTGATAAAGGAAACAATAGGACTTTAGGAGATACACAGAGGGCATGTTTCTTTCATCCCTGACTATCCACAACCAACCCTACCGCCTCTGGGATCCTGTGAGGACCTGCCCGCCTCCTTTGTTTCATCCAGCCAGAATACATGGAGTACTGAAGCTGAGGGTACTATTAGTGTTCCCTTTTGCCTCTTGAATGAAGAATTGTTATTGTTATTATTATAGTTGTTAGTTTTAATTATGCTGCCACCAAATACATGTCATAAGCAACACAGGAGACAGAAGAAACATTTGAACACAAACATTCATGAATAAACAAGCAATATGAGTCCACCTTTTGATTTTTTTAAAAAGGCCGAAGTCCTTATTTGGGAGTAAAGTGCCACTAAATGATACTGACTTCTGAGTGAGCATACTTGGATCAAAGACTCAAGCAGCTCAATTTTATTCAAAAAGTCCACTGGATTCAGTGGATTTTACTCATAAGTAAGTGTACACAGGATGGCAATGTTAAGAAAGGAAATAGATCCCTTGTTCAGAGACAATCACAATGTGGTTTTAGTTAACCTGTCCCTTTTACTGGAGGGAGGGAGAGGGACTGCTCTCTCTCTCTTTTGGTTTATATTATTTCCTGTCTACTTCAGGTTAGATATGCTGATAAACAAGTTAGGCACGGAAGTAGAAGTTCAAGGTAGAGTTCCACTTACCATACAACTGGTCTAACTGCATTTGGAAGGGTGGGAATGGACAGTCCTTTGCAAAGATTTTCTTTTTGTAGCTGTGCACCTATATGGAGCAACTACACAGAAGAAGAAGAGATTGGATTGATACCCCGCCCTTCACTACCCAAAGGAGTCTCAGAGCGGCTTACAAACTCCTTCCCCTCCCCACAACAGACACCCTGTAAGGTGGGTGGGGCTGAGAGAGCTCTGACAGAGACTGCTCTTTTTCAAGAACAGCTGTGCCAGAACTATGGCTTGCCCAAGGTCATCCAGCAGGTGTAGGTGGAGGAATGGGGAATCAAACCCAGTTCTCCCAGATTAGAGTCCACACACTTAACCACTACACCAAACTGGCTCTCACAGGAAATACAATCCTTTCCCTATTTACTGGCATGTAACAACAACGATGAAGAACCTTGCCATGATTCTAGAACACAAATTATAATGTCCTTTCATTCGGGGCCACACAGTAATACTTAGTATTTATATTTCAACGTCCCTCAGTGACTAGCAGTACAATCTTATGCAGAGTTCCTCCAGACTAAGACCATTGGTTTAGGTTGTACGGGATGGCGGTTTAACTTTTGTTTGGTTATGTTATCTAACAATTAAATCCTAAGAACATTTTCCTGGCTGGGAGTAAGTCCCATTGAGCATAGTTGACTAAGATTCTGAGTACATTTGCTTAGGATAACACTGCATAGATTCAGGTGGGGTAACTGTGTTGGTCTAAAGCAGCAGAACAAAGTTTGAGTCCAGTGGCACCTTCAGTTTGTTTGTTTATTTAATACAATTTATATCCCGCCCTCCCCACCAAGGCCGGCTTAGGGTGGCTACAAGACCCACAAAGTTTTATTCACAGTATAAGCTTTCATGTGCAAGGACACCTTGTCAGATAGCACTGCATGTAATCTTCGCCATATTTTTTCAAGAAAGACTAGCATTGGTACAAATAAGGTTGTCACCTGAATTTTAAACCAGTTATTTCCAGTTCACAGATATAGCATTTTTAGTTCTGCAGATCAGTCAGTGTTAATGTTTTTTGCTGCACGGTTTCGGGTTTTTTTGCTGTTTTATTGTCCCGTTCACATGGAGAAGTTGCCGCGCTAAAGACACGGATGATAGGCGGATTTTCGGTGTGCGATCACACCGCAACATCTGGGAAGCGTAGTACACTTGTTGCAAACCCGTGGCTTCTCGTTGAAGATGCGGAGTAAAAAACTACCACATACGATGTACTAGTTTCCAGAAAATGCGGGGCAAGGGCGGGCGTCTGATCGCGTTTCCGCTTGAATCCCGTGGCATCCAGCGCCCGTCCATGTCCCGTCGCACACCGGGTGTGGGTTTTTTTGTAAGTCTCCACAGGATGTGCACAAATGTGCACATGCGCAAACTTCAGTGTGGAAAAAAAAATCCCGTTTGCCACGGAAGCGGCGCTTGGCAAATTGCTGGTGTGATCGCACCACACCGCTTCTTTGCCGTGCTGCAGGATAGCCGTGTGATCAGCACCTAACGGCCTAACCACGGGACCTCGACGGGACATGTGATCAGGCTGCTGCACGTTACTTTGCTCTGGGGGCAAACAGCCACACTTCCCCCCCGCATTTTCTGGCTCGTGTGACTGGGACCTATGTATAGTAAATTGATTTCTTACATTTTTGTTGTGATCTTAACTGTTTTAAAATTGTTGTTAGCTGCTCTAGAAACCAGTCTTCTGTTTGAAGGGTTGGATATAAATTTCTCAAATAATAAATCTTGTGACAAGAAACTTTGTAAATTTATTATGAGAAAATACTTTTTATTTCCTGAATCTACTGCAAATCAGTGGGTCTGCTTTTCCCTTACCATCTGTTTTTACTATGCATAATGGTATTGTTAGATACGAGACTCGAGGCAGCAGTTGAACAGTGATAACAGCTTTATTGAACAAAGTTAGAAGAAACCAGAACGAGACAAACAACAGAGCAACAGGCTCCTTTTTAAACAGTCCGGGCTTGGCAAGCCACGCCCACATGTCAGATAACATCCAATCAGATACTGTACATAAGGACCAATCACTTTGCTTCTCTCCAGAACTTCCCTTGTTCTGATAGGTCGGTTTACAATACCTTGCATCAGACTCAAGCTCAATACATACATACATTCCATTCCATACATAACAGGTATAAACCTTTATGTCCCCATTTAATTATAATTTTTTCAACCTAAAATGTGAAAACAGCAACATCATTTATTTCAGTAAGAGTTTTCATGATTCACAGCTCACTTCCTCAGATATGCAGAGGGAAAGCAAAGTGGGAATTCTGTTTAAAGGAAAGATTACAAGGTGGGAAGGGGATGAAATAGAAGTGCATTGAAGATGCATGTTAGGAACATTTGTAGCATGGATTTTCATCCTCCTGGATCTCTAGTTTTAAAAACAGTAAGATTTAAAACTCTAATCTAAAGGGGACATAAATATTACTTTAAACTCTGTTAATAACTAACATTACAATCTGAAAAGATATTGTGAAAATGAGTTTCCAAACTGCTTTTTGTTTGTGATTCTTTCTTGCAAACCAAACAAATCAAACTTATATACCAAATTCTAGCTTTTAACTCCTCTGCTGTTTTCTTTTGCCCATAATAACAAACAGTACAACTACTTTTTTTTTTTTGCTTTAATTCTGGAGTTCAGTTGCAACAGCCAATGAGGAAGCAGCCTCACCCAGTAGGCAAAAGAACTTTCCCTTCGGCATGAATATTTTAAAGCACTACAATAAAAAATATGTACTCCTATATTTATTTGCTAAAATGTATCCATTGGCACTTCTGTGACTCTTGCCCCACAATTGGAACAGAAAGTAATGGCTGTTAAAAAACAAACAAAAAACCTTTGAAAAAAGTGGAGAACAACACCTTGGACATCCTCCTATGACTCCTTTAAACAGTGACCAAATAAGGAGACACAACAGTTCTACGTCTTGGCCATCGTTTGTCCCTATTGCTTTGGGTCCCCCCCCCCCCCCATGTATTTTGCTCCCTCTTGGGACTACTAGAGAGAGCAAAACACATAAAGGGGGGGGGGAGCCCTGAAGCAATAGGGACAAACGAGTGACAAAACTGACAATGCGGAAGAGCTCAGTGTTTCCATTCCGATCGCCTTTCGCGCCAAGCGATTCGCGACTGGTGAGCATGCAGCTTGCCCCAATAATATCAAAAAGGAAATGAAGTAAAAGCGGCCTTTGATACCTCCTTAGTCATTGGCTGAGCTGCAGTACTGCCACAATGAACAGTTTTCCGCTCGACGTAACATCTGCAGGACATAAAAGACATTCGATCGACCCTGACTTTTCGTTTTTATTCTGGGAATATCTACACCTGTTTTTGGTTGTGGGGAGCAGCAACCACATAAGCAGAACAGCGCGCGCCCCCGCCGGGTCCCTTTGACGTGCGCTGCTTCCCACAAGTGCCCGTCGAACCCCGCCAACTGTAGAGGCAGCTGCGAGCCTCTGCGGAACAAGTATCACGTTCCCTAACGCCACCGCGAAACATGGTTGTCATAGTGACAACGCTTCTCACGCACTGACTCCAAAACGTTCACTGAGGGGCGGGGAGCAGCGAGGACGCTGTTTCCATAGCGACACCCTCGCCTTCTACCGGAGAACACTGTGAAGTATGTCGGATCTTGGCTCGGAAGAGATCGAAGAGGAGGCAGAAAATGATCTGGGGGTCAGTGGGGGTGGGGCGGCGGGAAAGCGGAGTCAGGGCTTTGGAAGCCTTAGCGGGGAGGGAGAAACGGGGGTCTGGTTATATCGCGAAAGGGCGAAGACACATGAGAATGCAAAATAACAACAACCAACCCAGGGCCCCCCCCCCCCCCGGAAGATTCACCGACATTTGCAGGATTACGGAAGCTTTTCGGAACAAAGACAGACACCAGCTATCCTAAGGAATTTATTCAAATGAAAGATGCCAATACTGATTATTAATCATGGGCGTTCAACTGCGAATCTTAAATAAGGATAGACTGTAATGTCTCATCTCTCCATTTCAGAAGTACCTATTCTTCAGCTCTAGTTTTGACTTTCCCACCCCAGCAAAAGGCACAAATTCCAAATTATGTAAATATGTGAATGCAAAGTATGCAAATATATTTCATGATTTATTTAAATAGAATAATTTTGGGGTTGTGGTAATTGAATTTGAACATAATCCCAGATTTCCTGACAAGGCATACTTTACTTTGAAAGTTTTGGCTTAAGATCCTATCTGGGTATAAAAATCTGGGTATAAAAATTTACATGGAAAGGCTTACTTAAAGTCAAATACCTAAATATAATCTTATTCAACACTGGCTGGTGGCCTAAGATCCTACATTAAAATTATGCACTTCACATTTGAAGAAAGTTATGCTGTGTGCCCTCTTAAGGACATTTACTGTGTGATCTAAGCAGAGTTGCGCTCTTCTAAGTCCACTGAGGTCAACAAGAGATTTGGAATAAATAATAACTGATTTTCAGTATTTAGCTGGTTTTATAATAAAGATGAAACATTATTGGCTTCCTAGGCATTTTCATGAAATATCGCCCTCGACTATCTGATCCACTTTAAATAGGAATATGAAGGCGAACGCAATGAAGCTGGTGAACGACATGGACATGGGAAGGCCAGATTGCCCAATGGTGATACCTATGAAGGACAATATGGGAATGGTAAAAGAAATGGACAGGTAAGATATAAACAGATCCATCTGATATAAGATTTAAGAGCGGGTATACAGTCCAGTAAAACTGAGAATCTAAGAGAAATAGATTCGCTTACAGAAATGCTATGGGTGGAAATAGTGGGCCCAAAAGGAAGCTTAACTCTGGGAGTTTGTTATTGCCCACCAGATCAAAGGTTAGAGGATGATTTAGAAACACCAGAAGTTTTAAGTAAAGCAGCTAGATGAGATAACTGTGTCATAGTAGAACAAAGTTTGAGTCCAGTGGCACCTTTAAGACCAACACAGTTTTATTCACAGTATAAGCTTTTGTGTGCAAGCACACTTCATGAAGCATACGAAGCTTATACTCAAATTTTGTTCTGCTGCTTCAGAGCAACACGGCTACCCCACCTGAATGTGTCATCACAGTTCCCTCTAAGCTGTGCTAGGGGGCGCTGGGGCACAACATTTCAGAGGCCAGCTCAGAGGATTTCTGCTTCAGCTCACAACCAAGCTTCCATAGGAACCAATGGAGGATGGGGGCACCTCCTTCTGGGGCCCATAGAATTGGAACCCATGGTCCAATCTTTTTGAAACTTGGGGGAGGGTTGAGGAGAGGCACCAGCAGCTGTGCTGCAATTTTGGTATCTTTACCTCAAAAAACTGCCTTCCCCCGAGCCCCAGAAACCCCTGGATCAATTCTCCATTATAGCCTGTGGGGCCCATTGACTATAATGGTCACCATAGGCTATAATTGAGCCAGAAAAAAACAATTTTTTGCACACCCCTATTTATGCTTTTCAGTATGATTTGTAAGCTGCGTTGAGTCACAGGGAAAAGTGGGATATAAATATCTGAATGAATAAGCAGCTTGGGCAGGTTGATAACATTTAAGCAACTTCCTGATTGTTAGGTTACTCAGCGTTCTGACAGTGGTTGTTCCACCTCTGTTATACTTTACTGGTAATGCTGGTTGTCATATTTCACTGAAAAAAACCAAAGTAGACTTCAAGAGTTCCTCATTTCCCCAGTGCTGGTATGTTTTCTAAGGGTCAGTGCAGGGCGATGGTGCAAGGCCAGGTCTGCCAATATAGAGGACTGGGACAGGTAGACTTGTTCTCCAGAGGCCAGATCTACCAATATCGTGGAAACTGGTGGGTAGACCTGTTCTTTGGAGGCCAGGTCTACCAATATCATGGCCTGGGACAGGTAGACATGTTCTCTGGAGGCCAGTTCTACTAATATAGTGAAAAGGGGTAGGCAGACCTGTTCTCCTGAGGCCAGGTCTACCTATATAGTGGAAAGGGGCAGGTAGACCTGTTCTCCAGAGGCCTGGTCTACCCCTGTAGAGGACAACATTTTGTGTACTGGAATTTCTCTTGTAATGTTTAGTCTTAAAATATAGTTTAAATATAGTTTAAAAGAATTCATTCTGAGATTTTTACAAGGTTATGGAAATAATCTTCTAAAAATAATTTATGCAATAGTCAAATGTAGACTTGCTCACAACTTTAATGCTACTAGCTTTTTTTGCTCATGAAGTAGAATTTCAGCTCACAACACTGTGGCGCTTAGAGGGAACATTGGCATAACAGGTGATTTTAACTACTGACACATTGATTAGGTCAATATGTGCTCAAGTCAACAGAAAGAGACTGTGTTTCTAGATAGTCCCAGTGATTGTACCATGGAACAGATGATCACAGAACCTACTAGGGGGGAGGCAATCCTGGACTTGGTCCTAAGTAATGCTTAAGATTTGGTGAGAGATCTAAACATGATAGCACCAGTTGGGAACAGTGATTGTAATGCTATGAAGTTTAGCATTTATGCAAATAGGAAGTTGCCCCAAAAGACCAACACAACCAGATTTAACTTTAGAAGGGCTTGTGAAGAAGAAACTGAAAGGTAAGGCAAGGAGGATCAAATCCCTTCAGGAAGCTTGAAAACTATTTACTAATACAATGTTGGAAGCTCAGATAAAATGTATACCGCAGGTTAAGAAAGGTACAAATATATATAAAAAGGGCCTTCATGATTAATTAATAAAGTAATGGAAGCAATAAAAGATAAGAAGGATTCCTTTAAGTGATGGAAGGCTAGTCTGAGTGAGGTAAATAAAAGGGAGCACAGGCCTTGACAAATAAAATGCAAGTTGGTGATCAGACAGGCAAAAAGGGCCTATGAGGAACATATTGCAAAAAAACATAAGCACTAATAATAAATATTTCTTCAAATATATTAGAAGCAGAAAACCAGCTATGAAGGCATTGGGGCCCTTGGATGACCCAGGGGCGAAAGGAGTACTGAAGGGAAATGGCAGAGAAGCTGAATGCATTTTTTGCATTTGTCTTTACTGTGGAAGATGGAAGTGGTTGCCCATTCCAGAACTGCTGATTTCAGGAGGGGTGTCGAAAGACCTGAGTCAGATTGAGGTGCCAAAAGAGGACTGATAGATAAATTAAAAACTGACAAATCACCAGGCCCAGACAGCATGCATCCAATGAGGTTCGGTATGGGCAAATGCAAAGTGATGCACATTGGAGCCAAAATTCCTAACTATAAATAGATGTTGATAGGGTCCAAACTGACAGTAACTGACCAGGAGAGAGACCTTGGACTTGTGGTAGATAACTCAATGTTGACTCAGTTTGCAACTGCAATTAGGAAGGGGACTGAAAACAAATCAGCCCGTATCATAATGCCCATGTATAAATCTATAGTGCGGCCTTGTTTGGAATGCTGTGTACATTTCTGGTCACCATACCACAAAAAAGACATTATAGCATTGGAAAAAGTGCAGAAAAGGGCAACTAAAATTATTAAGGGGATGGAACACCTTCCCTATAAAGAAAAGTTAAAGAGCTTAAGGCTTTTTGGCTTGGAGAAATGACAACTGAGAGGTGACATGATAGAGGTTTACAAAATTATGCATGCAATAGAGATGGTAGAGAAAGAAGTACTTTTCTTCCTATCTCACAATACAAGAACTCATGGGCACGCAATGAAGTTAATGAGCAGTAGGCTTAGAACAGATAAAAGGAAGTACTTCTTCACCAAAGAGTAATTAACACATGGAATTTACTGCCTCAGGAAGTGGTGGTGGCTACAAACAAAGACAGCTTCAATAGGGGATTGGAAAAACATATGGAGCAGAGGTATAGATGGAACACTATGTCTGGGGCAGTGATGCTCTGTATTCTTGGTTAGGGATGGGCTTGAACCACAAAAATGCGCTTTGGTTCGTGGGTGAACCACAAACCCTACGAACCCAGTTGGCAGTCATACGAACTGAAACAGGTTTGTGAGGTTCATGCCCGAAACAGCTGAGCCACAGGGGCAGCCTGCTCCTGCGGCTCATTTGCTTTGGGCTCTAAACAGCTGGGTTGTGGGAGCAGGCTACCCCTGCAGTTCAGCTGTTTCTGATCTAAACAGCTAAGCCATAGGAACACGTGGCTCAGCTATTTAAAGGGGCTTTCTTGGGCAGCCAGCCCCAGGCTCGGAACCATTTAAATCCCTGCTTTCTACTCCCTGCAGCTTTTCATGGGGAGAAGAAAGCAGTGGATTAAATGTCTCCTGGCTCAGCAATTTTATGTGAAGAGCAGAAAGCAGGGATTTAGCCCCCTGCTTTATAAAATTCATGAAAGTTCAGGATGGTTCTTCAGTTTGTGAACATTCCTTCACGAACCATGAACGGCCCAAAAATTGTTTGTCAGCTGGTTCATGGCACTTGAAAGGAACAGTGGGAGGGCTTCGAGTTCTGTCCCCAATGGCACCTAGGTTTTGGCCACTGTGTAACGCAGAGTGTTGGACTGGATGGGCCACTGGCCTGATTCAACATGGCTTTTCTTATGTTCTTAACCAGTCAGTTGTTTGGCTAGGAGACACTGCAGTAAAACAAACACAAGAATGAATAAGAACTGTTTGTAATATATGTTTCAGGGGCTATATAGATTTAAAAATGGTGCACGCTACATTGGGGAATACTATGACAATAAGAAACATGGCCATGGCACCTTTATTTATCCTGATGGATCCAAATATGAAGGTAAACTGGATTTTTTAAAAACTTAGATACAATTGTGGAGGGTTTGATAGTTACGGGTTGGTTCAGCTGTTTCTCTTTGTATGTGTGTGTGTGTGAGAGAGAGAAGGAGTAAATGAAGAATGAAATGGTGGGAAACAATGGGATGAATACCAGATATTTGATTTGTGTTTTGATGATCAATTACTTCAGTTTTAGACTAGTGTAGAATTATTTTGCTTCAGTATGGTTTGTTCTGGATTTCTTTGTCATGATTTTTGCTTCTTTGTATAATACTGAGCACATTTTCTGTGCAGGTAAATTAAGTACATGGTTAGGCAGTCAAGTGAAAGACTGAGCACTGTGGCTTATAAAGAAATGTAACCATATTAATGTGTGTACTTCTATGGGTGTTCATTGCAGGAGAATGGGTAGAGGACCAGAGGCATGGCAATGGTGTTTACTATTATGTAAATGGAGATACATACACTGGAGAATGGTTTAATCATAGCAGGTTGGTTTGACTGAGGTTTTGTTCTTTTGTTACATATGAACTTTAAATCCATAGAAAGTAAAAATTGCCATAGCAATCAAGAAGATAAAATATTAAAATCTATTTCAAGTCTCCAGATAAATGATTAATCATGACCATTAAGGAAGGCAACAGTTGCCCCCACTGTTGTTCCCAACAACTCTTCATACTTTGAACATGGATATTTTAATTTATATTTATAATTTCCATCTCCAGGATTCTCTAAACTCTCAGGGACTTGAGTAGGCTGATTTCATCTCTTCCCTTCAACATGTCCCTTCTGGATTATTTTCAGCTCTCATTTGTCTGTTTTTGGAAGGATTTTTAAAATTTTGGGTAATTTATGAAGTCATATTTTTCTACATACCTGGAGATCCCATGAGTATATAGAGATCCCTACCTTGACTATGGGTCGTCCTATGTTGTGGATTTTATCACTTACATAAGACAGTTATTTTACTGTTGTGATCATTAAGGTGTATAAGGCTATCAATGTATTGCACTGCACCTGGCTACCTAGAATTCAGGGAAAAGGCATTTTCAGCCTTTGATTGTTTGTCCAATAATTCTCATATCATTCCAACCCAGGATTCAGAATTCTTGATGAGATAAAACTAATTTTTAAAAAGCTTCTGATATTTTACAGTGAGGCATTGAAGTGTTTTTTTACTAAAATATTTTGGATTATTAAAGCTTAACTGGTTAACAGAACAACTTATTTGAGTTCACTGGAAGTTTAGCAAGAACATGACAGCAGTGAGATTTAAATCAATTGACACTGTAATTGTGTGAGAAAAAAAGGTTAGGATGGTACATTTTTTCACCTGCTTTGAGGCTGCCTTCAGAATTTTAACAAAACTGTTGTTTTCTCTCTGTAGACATGGACAAGGAACATATGTCTATGCACTAACTAATTCCAAATATGTTGGCACCTGGGTAAATGGCCAACAGGAGGGAGCTGCTGAACTTATTCACCTAAATCATAGATACCAGGGGAAGTTTGTGAATAAAAATGTATGTATGTTAGAAATTATATTGATTTTTAAAATATCTTGGAAGACATCATTTATTATCTTTTTTTTCACTGAGATTTTAGCGCAAACTCTCCTGTATATTGTGTATTTCTAAAATCCATAAATAATTTTTGTACACAAGAAGCCTTGTGTGAGCTAGGGCTTAGTACTGGGGGAGAATTATGTTATGTTATGAATTTGTGTATACAGTTTGATGATCACAAATTGAGTTTAAAAGGTTTTGTGACATTGCAATTCTCTGGTCTGCACTTAGTGACAATGCATGTCCAAGAATCTTGGGGAACAGCATGGTTGCCACCATTTCAAAGGTCCTCCACTCGTCCATAGTTGCCATGGCTGGCAGAGATTCCCACAAAATCCTAAGGAAAATAGTATTCCGTTTGCAGTCGTCGTACTGTATACACCAGGGGTGGCCAAACTTGCTTAACATAAGAGCCACATAGAATAAAGGTCAGATGTTTGAGAGCCACAAGACATGAACAAATATCACACACAGGTTTTTATTGAAAAACATGCAGATTTGCTTTTTATTAACATTAAATGAGACTGCCAAAAATAAAAACAAAATGGGTAAAAACAGATATTGATAATGATATTTATTTGTTTGTTAATGATATTTATTTGTCTAAGAGAGAGAGAGAGGGGGAAAGAAAGATTGAAAGAGGTGGAAGGAAAGAGAAACAAAGAAAGCAAATAGATGGGGGAAGGAGGGAGGGGGAAGGAAGGAAGGGGAAAAGAGAAAGAAAGGTTGAAAAAAAGCAAATAGATGGGGGGAAAGGGAGGGAGAGGTGGAAAGAAAGCAACTTTAACTTTAAATGTGTCCTCCAAGCCCCCATGCCGGCTGGCTTGGAGAAGGGATTTAAAGAGACAAATGCCTTCTCCAAGCTGGCTGGCGGGGGGGGGGGGGGGGTGGAGACACATCTAAAGTTAAAGTTGCTTTCTTTCTCTGCTCCCCCCCTTTGCTTCCCCAGCCACCCTGCCGGGAGCCGCACAATATGTGTGAAAGAGCCGCATGTGGCTCCTGAGCTGCAGTTTGGCCATCCCTGGTATACACAAATTCAAAACAGCATTATTACGACTTTAATAATGATAAAGTATGCTAAATCGAAATACTGAACATGTTTAGTTTCCATAATTATCAAATTAATTGTATAATTATATAAATCTATTATTTTCAAATGTGTAAAAGACTGAATGGTCATAAAAGCACACATGGAGCAATGAGGGAAGAGAAGTGGGGAGAATGAAGAAACAATGCAAATGCAAGGTGACAAAATCTATCCACAAAAATCATAAAGTAAATAATGGAAGGAAAAAGAAAGGAAAGGAAAGGGTTGCGGTGCTCATCTCCGTTTCAAAGCCGAAGAGCCAGCGCTGTCAGAAGATGTTTCCATGGTCATGTGGCCGGCATGACTAAACACCAAGGCGCACGGAATGCTGTTACCTTCCCACTGAAGTGGTCCCTATTTATCTACTTGCAATTTCTTGCTTTCGAACTGCTAGGTTGGCAGGAGCTGGAACTAGAGATGGGAGCTCACTCCGTCATGCGGCAGCTCGGTCTTGAACTGCTGAACTACCAACCTTCCACAGCCTGCAGTTCGGCGTCTTAACCACTTGAGCCACCGCAGCTCCTCAACAGCAATATTATTATGTTTTTAAAAATCAGCATCTTAACACAATTAGAATTACGCTTTAAAAATAAAATCAGCCTGTTCAGGGGACTGGAGGGGGCAGCATGTACATGCGATGCTGCTGCAGCAAAAGGGCAATGGAAAACAAAATTTGATTTCGGGAGTTCCATACTGGAAAACTGCGAGTTAATACTTGAAGGGAAAAAAATGTGGGAAAGTGGATCTGGAAAATGTGGGGTAATGGGACAGTAACAAAAGTTGTGCAGAAAGTTTTACAAACATCAGTGATTTAAGAACACCAGTGTAGTGGTTTGCACATGTGCAGAAACAATCTGAGAGTCAGGCTGCATCTGTAGGAGGACCTCATATTATTATGTTAAATAATAATTGGTTGCCCTGTCATTACATGCCTTGTTCCTTATTTTTGCTGCTTTTTCTTAAAAATAAAAACTCTGTCCTTGGGAGGAAAAGGGGAGAGCACTTCTTCCTGATCTACTTCTCCTTTTGATTCAAGTGAGTATGAGTGTGTGAGAGAGATTAGAGAGACCTTGGGTGATTTCCCCCAGAGAGTGGCTCCATGCTCTCCCCTTTTCCTCCCAAGGATAGAGTTTTTATTTTTTAAAGAAAAGGCCTGTATGACAGGGCAACCAAGAAATAATGGGGTATCACAATCATGTGACCTAATTTACTACGGCCCCGTTCATATGAGGCAGTTTGGGCCGGGAGCGGGCCGGATTGGAAGCGCAGCAAACGGGCGCGATCCCACGCCAACATCTGCCTGGCATTGCGCCCGCGCCTCCAATCCGGCCCTTCCCCCGATGAAGCGCGTCAAAGATGAACCACCTACCTTCGGTGGTTCATCCGGATGGTCCGCTTCATCCTGGCCGTGGGATCGGCGGCGCCTCTTGCTGCCGTCACATCCCCGGCCCCCTGCCGTACTGCGCATGCTCGAGCATGCGCAGTATGGCAGCCTCCCCCTCCGACTAGTATCTTCCTCCCTGGCATCTGATCGTGCTGGGGAGCAACGGAGCGCGGCTACCGGGATCCGTGGGATCCCGCCGGGGCGTTTCTTTTTTGGCGCAGCTTTTAAAAGCCGCGCTTTGCCCTGTCTTTTCCCTGCCGTGTGGCAGGGGCCTACATTTACCTAATATACTACTCTTCCAACCAAGTGTACGGAAAGCACTTGGAGAACCCACACATAGACTGTAGGAACATCAGTTGCATATTAAGCAATTTTTTTTCCACAAATCAACTCTTGAATGATATTTAATAAGGATAAGGAAAATATGGGAAAACAACAGGCTGGTGCCCGCAGGGCTCTTTTTGTAGCAGGAACTCCTTTGCATATTAGGCGGCGTACCCCTAATGTAGCCAATCCTCCAAAAGCTTACAGTAGCCCCTGTAAGAAGAACTCTGTAAGCTCTTGGAGGATTGGCTACATTAGGGGTGTGTCGCCTAATATGCAAAGCAGTTCCTGCTACAAAAAGAGCCCTGCGGCGGAAATGTAGTTTGGATTGTGAGTAATAACAGAATGAACCCACTGGTACAGTTACAGATACACCTCCCCATTTGACCTCAGTAACTAGTTTATTTTTGTGTAGTTTGTATATTTTATTTTTTGTAAATGGTTATAAAATACAGAGCAGTGCCGCAGTATCTAATAGTGAAATATACCATGTTATTTATTTTAAATGTTTGTTAGCTGCCTTTCTTCCTTACTGAGCTCAAGGCAGCTTACAATAGTAATAAAATACATTAAGTAGATTACATTTAAAAAATCACCAGTGGGTGAAGCCTTTTTTGTTTTGGCATTCCCTCAGTGATAGCTATGTAGTAACCAGTGTTTTATGTTTTGTATGTATTTTAACTGTTTTATAATTAACTCTGTTCTTAAACTCTTTTTAAAGCTGTTTTAGTGAGCTATGTTTGGGAGGGCAGTTATGTAATCATTTTATAATGTCATTTACAATGTACTTTTTCTTTTGCCATCTTGGTGGCTCTTGTAAAGGAAGAAAGGTGGAATATAAATATGGTACATACATAAATAAAACCAAAATTTTAAAACCACAGTTTAGGACTGCTTTAACCAAACCTTCTTTAACCAGTTTGGTGTAGTGGTTAAGTGTGCAGACTCTAATCTGGGAGAACCGGGTCTGATTCCCCACTCCTCCACTTGCACCTGCTGATGTGACCTTGGGTCAGTCACAAGCTCTGGCACAGCTGTTCTTGAAAGAGCAGTTTGTGTCAGAGTTCTCTCAGCCCCACCCACCTCACAGGGTGTCTGTTGTGGGGAGGGGAAGGGAAAGGAGTTTGTAAGCCGCTCTGAGACTCCAAGTGAAGGGCGGGGCATAAATCCAATCTCTTCTTCTTCTTCAGCTACCTCCTAAAGATCAAAAGTGAGGGGGCCAGGTGTACCTCCCTGAGAAAGTTTTTCCATAATTGTGGGGCTGCCATTGAAAAGGCCCTCTTGCCTTACCCACCAAATAAGCTTCTTTGATTGATGGGACAATCAGGAGGGCCTCTCCCTGTGATCTTAATTCCTGGGCAGGAATATGATTTGAGGTATTTTGCAGTTTTAGGATACATATTGTTAGAATATTGTTTTTTGTTCTTGTTGTTTTTGTTTTCTTACAAAGCCAATGGGTCCTGGAAAATACGTATTTGATATTGGATGTGAACAACATGGTGAATATATTCATGATGTAAGTATTATCAAGTCCCATAACTTACTCATCTGATGCATTTTATGTCTGTTGGCTAAATTGACCGAAGCAATAAATTTGGTTAAGCTTTCTTTTATAACATCCATATATCGCAACATGACCCCATCTGTGGATACTTAAATCTGGAGACTGGGGCCATGAACAGACAAGACAAATCATTCTATAAACCACTCTGCTATGAGTCTCACTGGGTGACCTTGGGCCAGTCGCAGACTCTCAGCCTAACGTACCTCACAGGGTTGTTGTAAGCGTAAAATTGAGGAGAGAACGAGGAGGGTGTAAGCTGCTTTGGGTTCCCATTGTGGAGAAAGGCAGGGTATAAGAACATAAGAAGAGCCCTGCTGGATCTGATCAGTGGTCCATCTAGTCCAGCATCCTGTCTCACACAGTGGCCAACCAGTTCCTCTGGAGGGCCAACAACAGGGCATAGAGAGGCTGAAACATTCCCCTCATATTGCCTCCTGGTTCTGGGACTCAGAGGTTTAGTGCCTCTGAATGTGGAGGTTCCGATAATAAATAAATATAGCTGAAGATGGGGGGTGGGAAGGAGAAGAGGAGAAGCAGGGAACTGTGAAGATGTGGAGGCTAGAGGAGATGAGGGAAAGTGATGGGCCTTCAGCAGGTTCTTGTGGGTTCCCCAGTGTGCAAGTGGGCCAGACCAAGAGCTGGCACTGTACAACTTGGCCTGCCTGAGCCCAGCAGCCAATACCATGCAGTTTTCCCAGAGTGAGGCTGGCAGAAGGAGGGAAATCTAAAAATAGGGATATGTAAAGATAGATTGGTTGGACAGTGGGAAGAGGAGAAGGAAGCAGGAAAATGTGAGAAGCTGTAGGGGCTTTTAGGGAAAGGAAAGAAGAAATGGGGAGAAGGAATAATAGAAAGCAAGCAAGCACTGTATAAATAATGCAGATCATGGAGTGCACAAAGGTATGCTAAAGAAAATATAGAAATAACAAACATAACAAGGACCACATATATCAGTAAAGTAAGATTACATCATAACATGTGCAAGTCCATAAATAGTATCCATAAGTTCATAAGTAGTAACATAAGTCCATAAACTGTAAGTAGATGAAGACTCCGGATTTTAATCTTCGTTTCGAAGGTTCTTCTTCTAAGAATTCAAACTTTATAAAGTACTGATAGTGTACAGAAGACTTCAATCATGTATATATAGGAAAATTCCTTCACACAGCACTCATAAAGAATGAAGTCTATTTGAGAACATGTTCCACTATTGATCTGGTGCCCGGCTTCATATTAATAATAGGACTCAATTCTTCCTGTATTACTAGTCTGAAGGCTTTATTCTTTATGAGTGCTGTGTGAAGGAATTTTCCTACATATACATACAAGAACCTTTGAAACGAAGATTAAAATCCGGAGTCTTCGTCTACTTACAGTTTATGGACTTATGTAACTACTTATGAATTTATGGATACTATTTATGGACTTGCACATGTTATGATGTAATCTTCCTTTACTGATATATGTGGCCCTTGTTATGTTTGTTATTTCTATAATATATTTTCTTTAGCATACCTTTGTGCACTCCATGATCTGCATTATTTATACAGTGCTTGCTTGCTTTCTGAACTTTGTGTACTGTGTTATCACTAGTGCTTTGGAGAGGGGATAATAGGACATCTCAATGGTGCTGCGATAGCACTGAAGTATTATATTGGTTTAGCGCTATAGCACTCAACTTAGAATGTTAAAAAAAAGTCTGAGGAAGATCGCACAGCAATGGAGTCAAGGCATCTCAATGGTTCTGCCATAGAACTGAAGTGCTATATTGGTTTAGCACTATAGTGCTCAACTTAAAATGTTTTTTAAAAAGTCAGAGGAAGATCATGCAGTGAAAAAAGATGGGAGGGAAGCAGCATTATAAGAAGCGCTATTGACATTTTAAACAGCACACCACAGCGATTCAGAAGCGCAACAAAGAGGTTGAAAATGGAAGAAAGCCATTTCCCTCAAAAGCAGCTCAGCCACGCTTTGCTAACCCAATGCAAGCAGGTTTGTATGAGCAGATAAATAAATCCCGCTTGCAGCTGGTTACTAAAATGGGTCTGTCTGAAATGACAGAAAAAATCCATTAGCAACCAGTTACTAAAATGGAATACAAAGGCAGTTTGAAAAGGGCCATACTGTTTCCAGAATTAAATTGATATATAAGAACTGACAGTGTTCTGTGATCCTGCTTCAATCCAGAAGAAAATTTAAGTTTCATGTAGGTATTTCAGTCATGCTGTGCACAATTTTTTAAAAATTGTTTTTTGGTTTGGGTATATTTAATTTCTAAAAATATGAAATCATTTCATTTTTTTCGTTATTACCCATAATCCTTTCCCCATCTTCTTCATGGTAAGTGCTAGCCAGACTATGCTTGGGATCACTGCTGTCACCAAGTCCAGTCAGAACAGGCAGAGGGAAGGCACAGGTCAGGGATCTCTCTCCCTCCGCCCACCTACGCCAGGGCTGCGGATGCTCTTTTTGATGCATCTGAGGTGCTGTACCTTGGGAAATCATTTCCCAGGGTGCACCAAAGTGTCAAGTCTTAGGTATGGAAGAGTTATTAGCTTCTTATTTGTAGCATTATAGTGCATATAAATTAGTCTTTTAGGCTTAGAGTTTTGCTAGCAGTTAAACAAATTATGTTTTTAAAATATGCAACTCATCTGAGTACTGATTTCTTTTCAGAATCAAGTTTCATATTTTTGCATGATGAAAATAAAAAAATTACATTTATGGCTGAATTGCATTTTCACCATGCTTGTTAAATTACAGGTTTCCTGTAAATGTTCATATCTCTGTCCTGCAGGATCAGAAGACATTATAAATTATGTGTACAGTTTTCAGAAACTCATAAGTCCGTTTTCAAAGGGTATTTCATGCTGCAATCCTTACTGTACTTAATGCACACAAGTTCCATTCCTTTGGAAAATGTCCATTTTTTAAAATGCAAATTGGGCTTTTTAACTTTGGTACCCTGGAATTCATAGTTCACATTAATTTCTTTTCACAACTTGATTAGCTGATGCAAACCAAGAACAAGAGAAGAGGCAGCACAGAACTGCCATCTGTTCACAGCCATGAGAAGCAACCAATCATTGAAGCCTTTATCCTCAGGGAGCCTAGAATAACAGAGGTGCCCTCTGGCTTTGAAGTGGAGTGCTGCATGATTTGCTTGCATGTAACATAAGTTAGAAAGGCATTTTGGGGGGAAACACTACCTTTGGAACACTAGTTTCTGTACTTGTGCTCTACCTTCTGTCACGCTCACCCTGTGCCCCTGGTGCAGTGCCTCCCATGGCCATGGTGCATCTTTCTGAGGTGGAGTCGTCGTTCCTGGGAGTCGGAACGCTGAAGGCAGGGGGAGTGTTGGGGCCTCAGATGAGCAGGGGACACGGTTGACTTCACCCCATAGGTCCCTCTGCTGTCATGCCAGGTGCTTTCCGTTGGCTCACTCCTGCTCTTTCTCTGTCCTCGCCATCGCATGTTTCTCCTCCCCGGCCCCTTCGCTTTCCCCTTCTTTTATTCCTTTCCCGACTCCCAGCACTGCCCTCTTTCCTCGCTGCTTCCCCCGTCCTCCCAGCCCCGCCCCCTGTAATAAGCCTGGATGCACGTTCAGGGAGTTGCTGGAGCTGAGCCAGCAGTGGTCCTGTTTGCCCGGGGGCTGCACTGCCAGCGCTGGTGTGTGGGGTGCTCTGGGGTTGGGTGCCAGTCGTTAACCTCTCCATGGCGATACTTGCGTTGCCGCCGCCCTGTGCAGTTCCTTGGAGCCCTCGGCTCTGTGGCCGAGCCCGGCCGGAGTGTTGGGCCTCCCGGGCAGAGGCAATGGCTGGCGTGGGGTTGTTCCCTTGGTGTGTACCGCGTTGTCCTGGCTTCGGTGCCCGTCCTGGTGCTGGTTTCGTCTGCCTCTGGGATGCTCCAGGTGAGTCTGTTGTCCGGGGAGTGCCCGGGGGTGTGTGTGCAGACTCCCAAGACCTCTGGACCAGGACACCTTCTAAAAGCATTACTTTCTCAGTTCCTCTGCTCAGTAAAATTGTTTTGAATATTTTAGTATCTTTTTTTCTTAATAGAATGCTTACTTTTGCTGTATGCATTGCTGGGGAAATAATTCATTGTGTCCTTGAACAATGAACCTCAATATCTCTTCTACCAATTTACCACAAGTGTAGCCAACCACCAATGAGGCCATACCCCAACATGACTCCCCTCCCACAGAGCTCCAGAGTTCAGGGAAGAAAGACTCAGTGCAGCTCCAGCAGAGGCATGTGGCCTGAGGATACCCTCCATGGCCCACAGAGAAAGGGCACCCACATGGTGGATTAGGTGGCCACCTGTTCCCCTGGCAAGGGTCTGACTGGCAGCAAAAGTGCTGTCCACACGTAAGTATCCCTGCTCCAAGCCACAGACTCCCTTCTCTTGAAAAGGGAAAAGACCAAGGCCAGGCTCAGACACTCGACCCCCACACCCAAGACCAGCAAACTAACCACTGGGCCAAGAATGCAGCTGGAAAAGAGGCATGCCATCAGGCATTAGGCACCCCATTGCAGCCCTGATATGACCACCAGCCGTATGGTGCTAGGCAGGGGTCATTTCGTAGAAAAAGGTGCAGGAGCTCATTAGCATAACTCATTAGCATAACTTATTTGCATATGCCACACCCCCTGACATTACCGGAAGTGTGTCAGAAGGCAACACCCACTGCTCAGGCTCCACTGGACTGTTTTGGGTTGCTAGCTATTGGGTGGGGGGGACGTGCAGATCGGTCCTCACAGAGGGAGAGCTTGTACCTGAATAAAACTTGGCCTTAAAAGTGCCAATGGACTGTTTTGGACCGGGGGGCTCTGCAACTTACCTGGCTGTTTCTTGCTCTGATTGAGGGCTGCTGGGAGCAGGGGGTGGGGCTTGTTGCTTGTGCCCACCCCCTATGCTCTTTACTGCCGGAGCTCCGCTCCTGTGCACTCCTGCAGGAAACAACCCCTGATGATGGGGTAGCTTGCTGTACCATTTATACCTTCTATCAACCAAAACAGGAAAATTATTATACTTCCTTTCTGTATGTTCATGGAAGAGTTCTAAGCAAGCCATTTTAATGTGTAGTGGAATCCTTATAATACTGAAATCACATTTCTGTGTCTAAATATAAAAAATATTTACATGTTTTATTTGCATGCATCATCTTACCCTTCATTCTGATGTTTCAGAAATTCAACCTTTAGCAAGAGCTAGCAAAACAGTAAGATGGAGTTCTCAAGTAAGAGAAAGAGAGTTTATTTATTTATTTATTCGACTTATTATACCGCCCTAACCCCTAGCGGTCTCTGGGCGGTTTACAGGGAATGTTCTAAGAACTGTTCATCCTAACTACGGCCACATGATATGGGGGTGGGGATTTCCTACCAGCACCCTTGTGGTGGGGCCAACCCCACCAACCAAATGGTTAAATGTGCCAACAAAATGGTTAAAATTTGACAGAGATGCTCCAGCATTTATGAACAAATCCAAAACTACAACAATAATTACACATAATTAGAAAACAGTGCATGGGATGTAAGAGGAGCACACTGTATCCGGAACACTGCAACATTAGACACTTGATAATATCATTGTAAGAAAAATCGGTCCAGGTGCTGTCTGGGAAAAGGATAAGAGAGTCTTGAGGTTGCTTCACATGAAAATAGCTCTTCATCTAAGAGCAGTTCAACATCTGGATTAAGAAATACATTCATTAAGGATTATTTTTCTTTGTTCTGAGATGTAGCAGTGCTAATGAAGCTACACCGAGGTCATGCAAAACAGAAGGATGTTGCTTGGAGATGTTCCTTTTCAAAAGTTCTTTGGTGGTGGTGGAAAGTGTCGTCAAGTCACAGCTGACTTATGGCAACCAGTTTGGTGTAGTGGTTAAGTGCGCAGACTTTATTCTGGAAGAACCTGGTTTGATTCCCCACTCATCCACTTGCACCTGCTGGATGACCTTGGGCAAGCCATAGTTCTGGCACAGCTGTTCTTGAAAAAGAGCAGTCTCTGTCAAGAGCTCTCTCAGCCCCACCCACCTCACAGGGTGTCTGTGGGAGGGGAAGGGGAAGGAGTTTGTAAACCACTCTGAGACTCCGAGTGAAGGGCACCCCTATAAATCCTAAATCCAATCTCCTCCTCCTCCTCCTCCTCCTCCTCCTACTCC